TCAAAGTTGTTTCCTTGTAAAAGTGTCGAAATTATCTGCCGACAAGAAAATTACCTGCGCTTCAGTAGAGATTGGCCGGACGAACTACAGCCATCTGCAGCTGGTATGCAACAATCCAGCTCACTGCGTAGAACAACATAGAACTGCAACATTTGTACAAATGTTCTGAGACTATTTGTATTCCCTAAATTCTCTCTCTCTCTCTCTCTCTCTCTCGCTCTTTCTCTAACTTTTTCTTTCAAAACTTCTAGCGCCTCTTTTCTAAAACAGCCCCTTGTATTTACGTGCACGGCTTAGATCGTCCTTGTCGTCTTTCGAAAATAAAAGGAATGAGTAAAAAGAATAAAAGATAGAGGAAAATAGTAGGAAATAAGAAAGGATATAATAGAACAGAAGAAAAAGATACCTAAGAAAGAAAGAAAGGGAGAAAGAGAAAGAGAAAGAGATCCATGTAGGAAAACGGAAACAGTCTTCCAGCACGAACCATAAGACAGCGAAATCCAATTCCATCGCCGGTTAGTGCGTTGTCCGTTGCACCTGGAGACACGTCCGACGAATCAACGAGGTTTATATCTTCGACGAAGTACAGGAAGAGAAAGAAAAAAAGAGATGAAAAAGAAAATCGTAAGAGTATCTGGACGAAGGTAGAACATTTATTCTTTTCTTTGAAACAAGCTTTCCTTTTTTTTTGTCTTTTCTTATCTTTTCTTTTACAAAAAAAAAGGAACATGTTATTCAGATAAACCAAGAAATCAAGCAGAGTTTTCTAAAATAAAAAAGGAATTTTTTTTAAATATATAATCGATTATTTAATAAAATTGATAAAACTCTGGAAAAGATAATGAAAATTGTTTTCGATTTGTTAATAAAAGAAAAATAATTTACCTGGTGTGGGATTCAGACAGAGAAATATAAAAATGAAAAATAATGATAATATCATATAATATATATTTAATTATTATGTCGAGCGGTATTTACAAAAGTTTACAAAAAATGGCGTGGTTGCAAAAATACAGAATATAAAAGAGTTACAAATATAAGATCGACTGACTGATTGATTGATAGACTAAGGAACACTCTCTTACTTTTTTTCACATATTTATATCAGAAACGAGCTACACCCCTTTGGAGAGGAAAGGAAATTATGAATCTTATTGACCAATAGCAGAAGGATCCATCCCATAGTCCATCGGTGGGTACAGCCTATAGCTTTGGTAGTGGAAACTATGCATAAAGGAACTTTGTCTATAATATCGGAACATCATTTCTTTTTATGGTATCGCATATGTTTACATAGAAATCCGAAACCTTTCAAAGGACCCGACACTGCACAAAGGTTTTCATCGCACCAATATATCTCGATAATTCTTAGGTTTATTTATGATTTTATGGCCCTCCTAAAATATTTCTCTTAATCTCTAAATGGAGTTTTCTTTCACTAAAATCGATAGTGTATTTAAACAGAAAATAAAATATAAATAAAAGAACTAAATACTAGTTTTATTGTCTACACTGGAACCTTTTTGAAATGTTAAGAATTCAAAATGATACGGACTACGTGAAACGATACGCTGTCAGACTTTATTCGAGAATTCTCTTTGCGTTCTATCCTGAGCATTGCTAGTGAGATACCGACCGAGAGTTAATTCGTTGATTTCATTACACGGCTAATTTGACTGAAACTTGGACCAGTTTGAAGAGACCAAATTAAAGGTCCTCAACGTTCTTCAGTTTTAAGTGACGTTTAAAGTATGATTTTCATCGGTTATTTAACCTCAGTAAATAATGTAATATTTGCGTTAAGTGTTATCAAACTTTTAGCAAGGTATTTCAAAGATGTTACTAATTACAAATCGTATAATTTTTTTTATAACTTTAATCAATAGAATTAAAATACAAGAAAATGTTTACATTATTTCCTAAAGAATATTCGTTAATTAAAGTCCACTATTTAAAGTGGAAGAATTTCGCTTGCCAATTCAATTCTATCTCGCAATTTCTCTACATGCATGATCACGTGATATGGACTGAAGAGAAAGAGAGGAAGGGAGAGAGGTATCCAGCTGATAGTAGATAAGGGCGGATGTCTCGACTCAAACTATTTCAATTCGGCAAACAATTCCTGATGTTAGACGGGAATTACTAGACGCGAACGTGTGCTCCTAGAATTGCACCGATGAACGAACGCTTCGCGCTGTAGGATTGGAATTATGCAGATTATTCACCTTCACACCGGTTTCTCAGATGCATCGTGATCCTTACTTCGTCCATTAAACTTCAAGACAAGCATCGGTTTATGTTCTTTGCAGGAAAAGTGATATTTATACTGATTAATATTCTATTCATTAGCACAAAGATTAAATATATTTAACAAATATTAGACTTTAGAGCAATCTATTTAAATTTTTGTTAAATGTATATTCAGAAAATTAATTAAAAAGGACAAACCATTTAACTTGGAATTCACATTTTTTACAAAAGATTAATGTAACTTTGACTTTGAAGTCGCTATAATCGGGTTATCGTTCAAAAATTATATATATATAAAATAATAAAGATCAAAAGAGACGTCAAAATGAAATTCCATTTATGAAGTAGACATTTTTATCAATTCTTTTGTTCTTGTATACTAGCTTAATAATAAGTTTTATTAGAAATGAAATTATATATTAGGAATTCCTTTATACAAGAACATAAATTAATATTCCTTAATTTATCGAAAATACTTTTTTAAATAAGTCTTATATGATTCTTATGAGTTACAATAATTCATACAAATATATTATTCAAAAAATTAATTTGTAGATATGACGTACCATAAAAATTAAAAATAATTCTGTACATTCTTACATGGTGATTCAATTCATAAAAAAATTTAAATAAAAAATACCTAAGTTAAACAGTCAGCATTTTACTGAGCAAATGTATTTGAAAATTCATGAACGACACAATGTACCTCGCAAATAGTTACATACACAGGTCCTTTATAAAACTACTTGGTGGAGGGGTTAGTAGGCATTAAATGTGTTTCTACTGTATGTCGAATCAAAATCAAATTGAGTTTGATACGTGGTCGGATAGCTGTTTCAAAGCAGTCAAGGCAGCTAAGGCGACGAGAGAATCCTCCAACCGAGACGACGTCGCACACTCCTAACTTACCTCGAAGTTTCTCAACTGTAATTCCGACTCGATAGTTGCCACGGTATTACGGAACCGCGCGTAGCTCTTCTAACTCCATTAATCATTACAGTTTCAAGATCGGCAGAAGATACTTTTTGGATTGCATCAAGATAAAAGAGAAAAATTGTTAGGGCGTGGTCCGTTTGATAAAGAAAAAGAAATAAAGGGAAAGAGAAATTTACAACAATTAAAATTATTTTCGTTTCCAAAAATAATTGTTCTTTCTGTATTCTGTAGTCTTTAAAATGATCATCGTACGTTGATTAAAAATGTCATTTCAATTCTATCCAATGTTCTTATTCGGTCTCATAAAAATGTGCTTCTCAACATTTGGAATGAGATGTCGACAGACTATCATATTGACCTAGATGATTTCTTAGAAATCTGTTGAACGATAAAAGACTCACTGTAACGTGGTGTTAATGAATTCCATACCGCAGGTTATCCTTTATTCTATTTGAATAGCGCTGACTCTTACATACATAAATTTTGAGTTCGAAAAGACGCCCGTTAGTAGCACGAATAAAGCACAAAAAAGATGTTTTACCTTCACAACGTTAAGTCTTTCGTATAGGGACATCTCTGTCCTATATAAATTCTCAGAACTGTTCTCGGCCACGGCAGCATTTAGAAAATAGGTCAGTGCTGTCGTTTAAAGAAGATGGATCGATATTCTCTATCTTTTGAAGGGCGTATTTTAATAACGAACAGTCATCGACAGAAACCCTACTTGTTGATTTTTATGCAACATCGAATACTGATCTATGCAGGCATCTAAAATAATAAACGATTAGTGTCTAAAGTAAATTTTTTAAAGCATCGTAATAAAAGTCTCATAGGTATTGCAAATGTAATATACCATATCTTAAAAAGTGTAACAATGTTTTAACGTATTTATCAAAGCGTTCAAGTTTTATTTTATATTTCTTACATAAAATTTTGTTGTTGTTTACTATAAATACGTCAAAAACACAATGTTTGTGAGTTGTACGACTTGCACGAATTTTCTCTTTCTCTTTCTTCCATAAACATAGAACGAAGTTGACGAAATAAAATATGAAAAGTACTGGTATGTAAGTATATAAATACGTAGACAGGTATACTCACTGGATACTACCAACGTCATTAATTTGCGTTTAAACTGCGCCTGAAGGTGGCCAGGAAGTGTTAGACTGCCTCCTGAACGAGTCCGCGTACACACGTCGTACTAAGGGTAAGGGTATCATAATAAATCGTTGGCTTTAATGGATTTTAGTTAAGACCAAAGTAAAGACGACGTACACACTGGAGCACAGCGCGTACAGAATTTATCTCTAGTTGCACCGATGATGCATGCTAGCAACCCCCTCCCTCACTCGAACAACCCTCTCGTAAACACGCCCGTAGAGCCCCACTATTGCGGGCACTTCGCATTACGCCGATGTATTTCGCTCACAGCACCAACAATTCCACTTTATCTTCGAGCCAAGAGAGGGTCGAAATATCCTTCTGAATTTATTCACCGTGGTGAATACCGACGAAAAGTACAATTTTTTAAACTTACGCGTTTCATTCATTCTAAACACCTATTTCATATATTTTATGATACAATCTCTAATCAAATTATAATCTTAGGGTACGTTGTAAGAATGTTAAGTTATTCGTTGTTTACAATAAATTTCATGATTTTTATAAAAAATGAATAATAATAACAACTTTTTCAAATAGAACAAGTGTAATTGAAAATATATATAATTGTAAATACATGTTATATTATGCAAACGAGTGTTAATATCGATAAATATCATTGACTCTAGATCTACCAATTCTACAAAATGAATAAAGCACATTGTTAACTCGATAGACAATAATATAGATAATTAATATCTCTTGAAATCTCTCGAAATATTATATATGATAAAACAATTATTAATGATTATTGGATTATTAAAGATGCTTGGATTATCTCTTATACAAATTATCTTTTTTTGTTCTTTATCCTTTGCTATTACTTTGACTTACAATTTTATATGGCAAATGGTATGCTTCAAGAAAATTGACACGATCGACATAAACCTGGATCTCCGTATGAGGTTCTTGTATATGTTGGAATACCATTTCGCCGTTCTTGACGTATCGACAATAAGGTATCGTGCAGATTTTATTCCATCCGAAACCTTGTGCGATTCTAGCTGTGTATCTACATAAAAGAACGTACATACAGAATAAAAAGAAAATATTTCCAATTCGAAATAATATTTTTTTTTATGAAATAATTATATAAAGGAAGAAACGTTGAAATAATAAAAATAACTTGAATTTAGAATTTCTACTTCTAAAATAACATATGGTATTATAGTTGAACGAAAAAAGTCTACGATCCGAAAAGAAATAACCATCGTTCGATACTTTTGAAATGATCGATATTACAGAGGTTGGGGCTCACCTGCTGCTACAGTCTATACGGAACAACCGATAACTACAGTCTCGTGCGAGATACCAACTCTCTTCGATGAGCTTCTTGGCTATACCCATTCCACGATATTCTGGATCGACCGCCACATTGCTGCACTCAAACACCTTGTGAACGCAATAACGATTCCAGACATCTGGCTTACTAGACACGTAAGCGAAGAACTCTATCATATCTCGCATTGGTCCCTTTTCCTCGCACCTTCTAGCATATTCCATCATTTTCTTTGGATCCCATGGGCACGAGCAAATGTTTACAGCAACACCGATTATATAATGATCTGAATTCTCTGCGATTATCGTCATACCGTGTCTTATTAGTTTTATCGTGAGGTTTATCATAGAGGTTAATGGTGGATCCTTGCTAAGCCCGATATTTATCATAGATGATTCATGTCTAAAATAAGTCCCACACATAAAATTTATTATGTTTTCAATATCAATTGGCATTGCCAAACGAGTAATATAATCTGAAGATTTCTGAAATATAAATGATTGTTTTTTAGGATTGGGAATAGAAACGAGAAATTAACTCAAAGAATCGTTTAATCATGTTACGCGCGTTATCTTTATTCTTTTAAATATTACTTACAGAACAATCGAATTCTTTACTCACTTTCGAAGCATTAAAACAAGATTGAGAATATCGAAGTTTTTCAATACTCCGAAAAAGTTTGGCGCATTGGAAAGTTGTAGTACTGGTAATTAATCTTGAAAGTAACGATACCATATTTCTCTATATTTCATCGTCGATCTTCTGTGAAAATCCTTCGCTTCGTAAAATAATGCATAAATAAAAAATAGAAGTATGCTCGTGTGCACCGAATAAAATACCGATAGACGTTATATATGTATCAAACAAATAACCGAGCCATATGTGTGAACGTGGTTTAATATCTGTCAACTATAGCGATACTTTGTCGATCTGTAGCCACAATCACGCGGGTTAAACTTTTCACGAACTAATCTTGTGTGTTTTGAAATTTGATGAATACTGCTATTCCTTTCCATTCAATTTTTTTAATTGACATATATAATTAACAGTTTATTTAAAATTATCCAACATTAACATATGAGGGCGGGTTGAAAAGTTTGGAGACTCAACAGAAAAAAAAGAAATTATACATTTTTAAATAAGAGTGAGTTTGATAGATAAAAAAAATATTTATGTTAGGCTCAAAACTTTTCAACCAACTCACATATATTCAAATACATAAATTTGATTGTAATAATATTGTTTTAAAAATTGACGATATTATAAAATTAGTAATATGACCTATATGATATTGTAAAAGTTTATAATTCTTGTTATCTCTTTCTCTTCTTTCTTCTTTCCAGGATGGATTGTTCTTCATGCGGGTGTCCGTGGGACAATAAAGTCTCGCATCAAAGTGATCGAGCCCTTAACATTGCTCGTTCTCGTGAAATCGCACAAACACTTCTCGACCATGTTATTCTCGGATAAAACGAATAAAAAGAGAAAGATAGCGAAAAACGACACACGGAATGCTCACCTCCCCTTTCTCCTCTTCCTTCTTCTTTACGCTGGCTTACTCAGAGAAAGATTAACGTAAGATAAATTGCGTTTCTTTCGGAAATCGATGGATTCGTTTGAAACGACGTGATCGAAAAGATTCCAACATGTTTTTTGTTTACTTCTTTTTTGTTCAACAACTGATACAGACGTTTTGCCGTAATTTCTTTCATGTTGTATCATCGTACTTATGGTTAAATTTTCTCGATACCAATAAATACTTCGATTAAACATTAAATATTAAACAAAATAATAACACGATTGATTTCAAGCAAAGATTAATAATAAATTATTAAATAACATATATTGAAGAATGTCTTTTCGTCGAAACAAATTTGACACTTAAACATTTAACCATGGAAAGAAAAGAACATTAGCAGTCTCGTTTTTATCATACTTTTATTCAACGATAAAGTTTAAGGTTTTAAATTCACACTCTTGTTTACCCGTTGTTGTCGTGGAACGTGCACGAGCGTCCTCACAGTATCTGCAAAGGCGGACGATAATTCAGGTACGGCTCTATTCATTCATAGCCGTTGTGCCAAGTGATATGGCTGGCAGCAGCCTGCAGACTGGTGCACCTGATTTATGTATTCCAAACGCGTTCCACAACCTACGACGTACGCTCATCTATGCACACAAACAAACACGCACGCATATACATAAACACGTGGACGTACTCATGAGCGTGCATGCATACACGTAGATTGGGAAAAGGAGGAAAGGGAGGAGTGTGTTTGGGGTTGCTGCGGCTTATTGTTGATGAATGCACGGAACCCAAGCTCACTGAGCCACGAAGGGAATGGTACCTCAGTTATCCTCATCCGAATCAAAATACAGGGGGGGGGATGCATATATACCCATATGCACGCTCGCGCGTGTTACCTGCTTGAAAAGCTGCCTCCACCTCATCCTCCATTCTTTCTCCTCCATTTCCAACGGCCTTCTTTCTCGTCCAAGTGAGCGACGCATCAATTATCACCTTTTATTCGCGTTCCAGCTAACCGCGACGAAAAATCACGATTTATTGCAGCAACAATGGCGAACATTATTAATATCCATTAATCAACGTAACCATCGTCGGCAAATCACGTTGTTCACCGTGGGAAACGTAGTCGGGGGTTGCTCCATGGTCGTTATCAAAGAACAGGACAATGCGTCAAGATGAACCTGCAATCCGATCGAGGTATTGTCCCCTTGGGAATGTATCGATTATCGATACGACTTTGCGCTGTGCTCTTGATTTTATTTTACACCGGCAACGTAATTCCTTAGAAATCGATACGTCAAAGTAAATTTGTCAGAAGGGAAAAACATAGTTACAATATCTTTCTAATCTTTGTACGTACAAAATGTATCTTTTAAAACATTCTAATCGCTTACTACGTACGTACGTACTATGAAATACATTCGTCGAAACTTTTCTTATCAAACAAGATGAATTATAGTATACATTTTTTTAAGATTTATCATTTCATTAATCAACATGGAAATATTACCCAACGCCGTGCCGTAAATAATTATGAATTTCTTCGATAAACAATAACACGTAAATCTACGGTCTATTTTTTAATCGTGTACACAACGATAATCAAATACACCTTGTTAAAATGCATCGAATACTTTGAACCCTCTACAAATCCAGTTTTTTTAATTCGTCGATGGTTATGAAAGAAGCCAATATACTTAACCAGTAGTCAATAGCACAGCAGGATGACCTTGGGCTTCTTCCTTGACCAAAGACCTCAATCCTTCCTTTTTCTTGGCTTCAGCCAGATCGAAGGCTGAATCGTGACTGGATCCCTTTTTATAGATATGCTCAAGAGAACTATGTTTTTCGCCGTATCTTCCGTGTTTCTTGAAATGTCCACCTTGATGATCATTGTCGTAAAAATCCGAATTTTTGTTGTGTTCGTCCTTATGATAAACGCTATGAAAGCCTGCAGCTTTATAATCCTTATTGCGACTATCTTTAATCCCATAACTTCGATTTTTCTCGTCAAACACCTGATCCTTTCGATTCTTGAAATCGTTCTTGATCTCGGTATGTGCTTTCTTCCTACCACCTGCTTCAGTATAATCTTTTTTTTGTTTCTCTTTTCCTTTCACGCCCTTTAATCTATTTTCAAACTCAACCAACTTCTTATGACCATTCTCATTTTTTAATCCTTGAGATGCTTGATTGAAAAGTACATATCTAACACCGTTATCAGAAACACTCCTTGAATTAGAAGCCATAACTTGTGGTTCTCGAAAACGAAGTTCCATATGATCGACGCCCGGTGGTACAACACCTTTAAAATTGGGTGGTAACATTTCAGCGTCTGGTTCCAAAGTTAAAAGTGAAAGAACATTTTCTACCTTTGTATGTTTTTTATCCTCCGGGTTGAAATCGAAATCTTCCAAACCGCTGTCGACGCTAATAAATTTAGTTGGCGACAAATCTTCAATGATATAATCGGTAGGAAAAGCTTCGAGATTGGATCGTGTTGTGTGGCCACTTTCGTTCACCGGATATGTTGAAACGCGAACAACGGCGACGCAGAGAACGTACCACCGCAACCCCCAGACGTTTTTCATTCTCCTTTCTCTATGTCTACACCTAGCGTGTCTAGTTTATCGTGTCTGAGATAAAACGGAAGGTTCTATACTTCTTTTTCTTTCTCTTTCTCGAGCGTTTCTGGTTAGGGAAAACGCAACGTCGACGTGACTAAGTATTTCTCTCTCTCTCTCTTTCTCCCTCTCTCTCCCTTTCTTTCTCTCTTTCTCGGTTGTTTTCTTTTGTCTTTTTTTAAAATCTCGTTGCGTTTACTCGTGGCGTTCCGGTTCTCGCGTTGAAATAAACTGTAATCAGTGTGCCATGTGGCGAGCTCTTTTATATCTCCTGACCGATCGGTGAAACGCCCGCGCACGATTGGCTCTCGTCCAGAACTGGTCGAGTACATCTGGAAGGACGGTACTTCTCGGGACTAGTGATGCTATGGACGAACTTTGTTCTCTTCGATTTTGCGCGACTCACCGAGATGTCTCTCCGTTGCCTATACATTCTATTCAAGGTCGTCCTACTTTACTCGATCCATTGAAAGTCGAACAGTTTCGTTCGACTGCTTTCAAATGTCACCCCAACTCTTAAAAATAAAAAACTCGCAAGTCTACACGGGCTTCTTTGTATCCGTTTGAGCTTTTATTATAATTTAGCCTTGACACATTGAATATCACGTTAAGAAGATATTATATTCAAACAACACATCAACATATTTTTATATTTTTTAAAGTTATACAATATTATTTTAATAACTCAAATATAAGTATTCTTTAATTATTTATAAGTGTTTTTTATTATTTTGTTTTCTAATTGCTGTAAAAGATTAATTTGAGAAACACGTGCGATTACTTTTCAAACTAATCTTAATCTATACGTATTATTAGAAAACCATTAATAGTATTAAAATATTGAATAACAAAAATTATGAAGAAATATCGTTGAATATGAGATTAAGACATATCATAGAATCATTCATCCGTTGAAAATAACTATCGATCGACGCAAAAGCGTGAACGAATGTTGCGCATACATAAGATATTATTATCTCACCACATTGAATCCAGTGTGACTAAAAGAGTAACACAATAATATCTTTTCTCGACATAACAGATATATATATATATATACTGATTCGACCGAAATTTGAGTTGCCTGTTTAAATGAAATTACGCAAATTTGAACGATTCACAGGAATGGTCACGGTAGTATAATTACAGTGTCAATAACGCTTTGTTCTTGAATTTATATCACTGACCGTGGGATACTTACATAGAAAGTACTTACGAGAATGACTACATTTGAATCGACAATCGAAGGACCTTAGTTACGCATAGGTATATAAAAGCTAGATCGGTTACTAACGTGGGTACCAGAGTAAGTTAGACCACCTTTGGTTACACCTAACAATTCTCGAGTTTGCCCTGTATTTATCATGATAGTGATAGTAACGATACTTGCATTAATCCTGATCAAGCTTAACGATGGAGCACCAACGAAAATGGAAAGGATGACGATCGCAAAAACGAATATAACCGATTTGGAATCATCTGCTACGGGTTATACGTACGAACAAAGACAAAACTACCCTGTAACCTACGTACATTACACCAATTATGGGAGCGGACGTTACTATGATACGCCATTGCCAATACATTATATCGTCGATGGTAGTAGTAAGGGTGCTGTTGCACCTGTTGCTCTGTCGGTTCCTCAAACGGCAGCCCTCTATGAAAGGCCTCTAATCTCTTATACGAACGTAGGACAGAAGCTGAATCCCTACATGCAACAGCGATTGTCTTACGTTAAGACGGGTAACGATCACATGGAAGCTCAAGGTGTCTACATTGTCCCACAGAAACCCTTACCACCTTATTACGTACATTTAAGTAATGAGAAGGTAATAAAAGGAAAGGATGGCAATCAAGGTCATGCCAACGAGAAGAGTAACGAGGACGTTAAGGAAACTTATGATAAAGAGAAGGAATACAACGATGAACACGGAGACAATGATGACAATGACGACTATGAAGACGACGACGAAGACGATGATGAAGACAATAGTGAATATAACGATGCTCACAAAACGTATCATTCCAAAGGATTTAATCATGATCATTTGGGACATTCTCAAAAATTATATAATAAGGATCATGATCATCTTGGAGATATCGGATCTTCTTTTCAAATCGAAGAGCATTCATCTAACGGGGAAAAAAGTGATAGTGCTTACAATAGCTATGACACTTTTGACGAAGAACAGAAAAAGACGTATGATTCAGCTGAAAAAGCTGGTTTGTATGTTTGCTCCTAAAAAAATTGAATTATATCGTTAGACAAAGTTGGTTATAGACGAAATATGTATTTTTTAATATTTGGTTCATTTCCAAGTACTTTGTTTTTCTAGGTCACAGCAATCTTAAGGGTAAGCAGAAAAAAGAGTATACTAATACATCCGGTTCTTACGGTCAACACGATGACTTGAAAAAGGGTGAAGAGGGTGCTAAACATGAACATAGCTCGTATCATAAAAAAGGAGGAAAGACTAATGGTTTCCACAAAGTCTATCATAAAGACGAATATAAAAAGAACACCGACTTTTATGATGAAAACCACAAAGACGGACAGTTCAGTAAACATTTTGCTTTCGATCAGCATAATAATGCAAAGGAGGGCGATTATCAAAAGGAATCTCATCATGATTCCGGTCTCGATCAATGGGATAAGACGAAGAAAGATGATTTCAAGAAAGGCCACGATGTTAGTCGCAATCAAGAACATCATTCCGAAAAAGATGAAGATTCTTATCACAAAGATTACTCTGATTATTCGAAAGAAACTGGGGAACGAGCCGAAAAGAAACATGGATATTCGAAAACTCACGATGATTATTGATATGTAAATATTTATATATTATCTCTATTGTTATTGCTGTATGACTTTGCATTTGGAATAATATAAGAAATAATTTTATGCACCATTTGATCTCATTTTTTCATATTGTTTAATATACTAAGTAACACTGCAAAAATCTATTCATCTATATGATTTACATACTCCAAAAAACAACAAATATGATCTAAAACTAATAAAATGTTTTTTGATGTACAATGTACACAACTAATAAACAGATCGTCACTGAGCATGTCAATCATAGCTAACATTTTTGCAGTGCTTTGTCGATACACATAACACGCGAAATTCGTCGTATAGCCAGACGAGTCCTATTTCAAAGTATTCATCAATCAATTAGCGTAACACCGATGTGAGTAACTGTCAAGTAAAATAGTGATGTAATACCGTCTGTTATACATTTCCGAGATATTCTACTTTTTAAATTAGAAATAGCTCCTTCTATGGATTAAAAACAGTGAATCGTGTATCGATCGAAGTATTTTTTCGAAATAATGTCACGTTTACGGTCAATAAATCTAGTTCTACTATTGAAATAGCGGATATGCAATTTATTTTCGAAATCAAGAAGGAAATATGGCCTGATAAAATAATTTATCTAATTTTACGTATCGTATTTGGTACTAATCATTGGACATGATATATCCTATAAAAGTGTCGGCAGATCAAATATACTTACAATTAACCAGATAAAGGTAATTCAGTCTCCTGGAGTTTAATTATCAAAAGCAAATAAAATAAAATTTATTGACACAGTTATGAAGCTTAATATTTATTAAACCGTGAGTGTAATATGTTTGTTAGTATGCGAAGGAATTGAGGTTAAAAAACCCGAAGAAATTAAAAATATTTCGGAAAAATCAATACTAAAAGAAACGGAAACTTCAAAAAGCGAATACGTGTTTAATAAAAAGGGAAATGAATTTAAACAATATGACACAATTAGAAACAACGGAAGAGATAACTTTGAGTTTTTTGATGAATATGATGAATTTGGACATTCCAGTTTAAATGTGGCTAACCCAATTTACAGGTTTAAATATCCAACCGAGTATAAAATAAGAAACATCGGCAAAGGTACTCATTAGAATTTTGTTTTTTAATAAATATCTCTTATAATTGTTGGAGTTATTTAACAATATAATGAAATTGGAAGGTATCATTTTAATCGTAGTAAACGCTATACGTATATTTACGTCAGATACCTTCAGTGCGGAATCGAATTTACTACGTTTAGGTGGACAAGATAGTAGCCTTGGTAACATCGAAGGATTCGATTACGATGGAAGCGATGGATTTCGCATTAAAGGAAGCCTTGCTCGCTCACGATATTATGGTTTACCAAAACAAGCAGAAAATTATAAGGTTTCGAGAAGCAAACTGGACCTTGATGGTATGAATATCAGACTACATTCTAATTTAGGAACTGATAAGTTAAGAAAATCGATTGGAATACAAAATGTTCCATATAGTGATACGTTCGAAAATAATCTTCGCACAAATAAATTTGTTATACCAAGATTAAAATTAAAAGATATTACTAGCGAAATAGTCAATGACAAATATAATTTCGCTATCAACGACGTTTCGAATTATCAGGATGAAAGAAAAACTAAGACCGATGAAAAGCTCAGCAATAGATTCGAAGTAACCGAAGATTTCGATAAAGACGAAAAGGAAGCTATCGGGAAATCTTATCTTTCTCAATATCAAGAAGACCTTAGTGAATCAAAAAAGGACAAGAAAGAGGAAAATGTGAAATACGGCAAAAATGAATCTGCTGCAAAAGAACTGTTGAGCGAAAGTCATGGAAAAAACGAAATTCATAAAAAGAGTCACAAACATTCCGGATTTCATAACATTTACCACAAGGACGAATACAAAAAGGACACGTCCTTTTACGACAACGAGCATGTCGACGAACACGAAGAGAGTTATGACTCGGAGAACAGCGAACACGAAGAAGCGGAAGGTGGACAAGAAAACATCCAAAAGTTGGATGCAGGATACCACGAGAACGAACACGTACAGAAGGAAATATTTCTCAATGGACATCAATATGGTAGTGCTCAAGGAAACGACAGGGAAGCTAGCGGAAAAGAGCATTACGTCGAGAATGATGCAATTTTAAAAAAACAAAGTAAGCAAAAAGTTAACGATGATTCGTCGCACTTAGAAAACCAATATTGAATTAATTTCAATCGATCTATTAGTTTTTTCTACATGGTTTTATTTATCGATTACTATGTTATATAATCTATTACTAATTTGCAAAATAATCCTAATTATTATTAATAATTTCAATATTTCATTATTTTCATTGAGATTTCAAGTAGTTTTATTATCTTTTTTTAATAAAAAAATTACCGCTTACTTTTTTACTCTTAGATATAGAAAAACTGAAACTGAAATAGGCAGGGTGAAAGTAACGATATAAATATATATTAATAGATTACTATATGATTGCATCAAAATCGTTTAAATTTGCTTGACAGTATCACTTAATTCTCATATACAAATATAATTGAAAATATAAAATTATTTTTCTTTCAAAATGAAAGTTTGATAAGTAACTTCGTTTTTTTCTGACTGCACCTATAAAACTGAACGCGTAATAGATATAACGAAATAATATTTTGAAAAAAATATCAATAAAATTTCATGAAAAATCTTGATTTAAATATCTATTCTCTGTATATCGATTGTGAACTCGTGAACTCAGTTTTGATGTTTTACATAAGAAAACATTTATTTTGGCAATGCGTAATTAAAAATAATAAGTACAGCTAGAAACAAATGTAATACAACAAAGAACAATAATAATAATTGTTTAGATTTAATGTCCATGTTTAAATCCCCATTTCTTGTGATCCTCATGTTCACCTTTTTTACCATGTTTAGAATAATGTTCGTAATGTTCGTCGTGTCCACCTTCACCTTTGTGACCCTTATCATCATGATGGTGGCTACCCTTTTCGTGATGGCCCTTTTTACCGTAATGATCTTCGTGATGACCGTGATCGTGATGACCCTTCTTGAAATGACCACCCTTTTTATGACCATGCTCGTGATGGTGGCCACCATGATCCTCATGATGACCGGAATCGTGGTGTTCGTCAAAGAATTTTTTGTCCTTTTTAAATTCATCTAGTTTATGAACTTCGTGATGCCCCTTGGTGCTATGACCCTTGCCATAGTGGCCCTTCTCATGAAATTTATGGCCCTTCTCTCCCTTTTCACCTTTATGATGCTCAGCGTAGTAACCATCGTCATGGTGATGATGCTTCTTGTGTCCTTCATCCTCGTGATAGTGTCCCGAGTGGCCACCTTTATCGTGGTGTCCCTTTTCACCCTTTTCGTGATGATGCCCGCCCTTATAGCCCTTGTCACCCTTCTCGCCGTGCTTGCTATAATGATCGGCAAAATGCTCTTCACCGCCACCCTTCTCTTCATGATGATGATGATGATGAGACGCAGCTATTTCCAAGTCAAACACATCTCTCCTGACTCTTTGGCTTTCAACCAAAATTAAGTGAGCGATCGAAATCGTTATCAAACAAATCGGCAAAGCGAAACACCTCATTGTATTGACTGAATATTCGCTATAATTGCCAGCAGCACCCACCGTGACAACCCGTTTTGCTTCGGCGCTGCGCTCGATGTGATAAAGTTAAGCGTTACTCTCGTATTATATATAAGACGGAGAATAATCGTCGATGTTAGGGAAGAAATAGCTCCTTTTCTTCGTCCATTAGTTCATTGCGAAAGCTACGTCTCTTTACCCTGCTTCAAATCGTAATATCGATTTCAAGCAATCTGTCTATCGTGAACGTTATGTAATCTCAATCGAAATCGTCGCCACGCTTGCACAAATATCTTTTAATCCGAGATTTTCTCCTCTCGATCTATCTCAGACTTTCCTACCACTATTTTCTTACTATTCCAACGTGACTTAACACATTTTCTTGAAATATCAAATTGCATTAATATTGAAATTAAATATTTATCTGATTATATTAATTGTTAATACTTTTGATTGAAACATTTCTAATTAATAATAAAATTATTTATTTATGCTATAAATAATATTATAATTATTAGCAAAAATAAAATCTTTTACGGTAATAACGCCGTGAAATTCTAAGGTAAAACAAAATAGAAAGTATATTGAAAAACCATTACATGATCGAGGTAAGTAAAAACAATTAAATTATAATTTATCTTAGATATATAATATTCCTAAGATTATTAGACATTTCAGAAAAAAAGCGATAATAAATTTTTTTCTAATACTTTTATTATTCCCAATTTATAATGCGGATTAAAAGGTTATGTTTTCGTTCGAGAATACATTGTGCCCATTCTATTTTTATAGAATACTTGGCATCAGACCATAAGGTACAAATCTTTGGTATACTTATATGATAAAAGGCAATACAACAATATTCTGAAAAATGTAAGTTATAAGTTTAAAGCTCATATCTTATTCCTTTAGTAAGTGTACAATACTTAATACCTTTAGTAAGTGTAGCCCTGTACAACACTTATATCTCGAACTTGGTTTAAAACCAAACGAAATAAAGAATTATTTTACGGAAAGCTTCGAAAAGCCCTTAGCCTAAGAAACCACGTTCGCCAGATGTTGATGGCGCTAGATGGTAGAAAAGATTTACGAAACTCGAATCATGGTTTGTGAACAAATCGATGAGAAAGAACGAAAGTGATTACGTACAAATCCAGGAACGGAGCAACAAGTATATAAGCTTAGGTGTGGATAAGCTTGGTCAGTCATTCGTACTCGTTGGTCCGTCAAAGTACCAACAATGACTTACTACGTGTTTCGGATATGTCTGACTTTCTTTCTCCTCTATGCGATCGTCGATTTCTCATCGGCAAAAAAGGTGAGAAACGAACGAGATCTAGAAGTAGCTGCTAGCCATCACAGTCATAAACATGAGTCCGGTGGTGGCCATGAACATCATGGACATCATCACGAGGAACACGGAGAGAAAGGAGATAAGGGTTACAAGGGTTCACATCATCACGATAAAGGTGAACATGGTCATTATGGTAAAGAACATCACGAAGGACATCATGGTGAACATGGTGGGCATAAGAAGGGACACCACGAAGAAGACGAGCATCATGGTAGTCATCACGAGCACGAGCATGGACACAAGGGTTCCAAATTCGGTCACTCAAAAGGTCACAAGAAAGGAGAGAAAACGCATGGGTATCATCATAAAGCCCATAAAGACGAATTCCACAAGGAACATAAGTTCTATGATGACTATCACAAAGGCGGACATCATGAAAAGCATGGATCTCACCATGGACATCACGGAAGCAAGGAAGGGCATCATAAGAAAGGTGGAAGTCACCACTCCGGTCATCACGAGGATCATCATGGAAAGAAGGGACATCACGACAAAGGACACTTTGATGAAGATCATAAAGGTCATCATGGAAAGCATGGCCACGAGGAACACTATCATCATCACGAAGATTATGGGAAGAAGGGCGAACATCACGGAGGAAAGTCTCACGGATTCTCAAGTGGAGGAGGCGGTGGCGGTGGCGGCGGAGGTGGTGGTCACGGAGGTGGCGGCGGCGGTGGTGGTGGTCACGGCGGTTATCATCACTAATTATTATTGCAACAAGTTCATTCTACTGTATTTTGAATTCTGTTGCATCGTTAACATGTTTTCTCTCGTTGATTATTTGTAAACTCCTTTAATTCTTAATCAATCTAAATTGTTAATTTTAATAATTAAAATATAAAAGAATTACAAATCATATATCGCACTTTTCTTGATAAATTTCCAATCCAATTTTATATTATATATACACCTACGATCCTCAATTTCATAACAAATCTGAGAATAAATAAAATTACTGATTATTATTATGAATTTATTAATGATTATAATTGTTAATTTATTAACAAGCTACTAATTAATTAAAAAAAATTTTTATGAATATATGAACGTTAATAATTACATGGAAACTCTAATCTCCTATTTTCTTTAATGTATAGTTGTTTATAATTCGGTTTACTTGATATTCAAAATTGAAGAATGTTATTTTAATAACATTTACAAATGTATTAAACAATTATAATTGATATATAATCAAATTTTTTGTATTGTCTTGTTTTAATTACACCATACGCTGAGTTATTACAATATCACTCTCTATTTTGGATAAATAATCCTCTATAATCATTATAATTATGACAATATAAAATATTTATATTTAATGAGAGTAATAAGGATAATCGTCATTAGTACAGTGGCACGATACGCATATCGAATAGCGAATCCAGTTTAATATTCTCCAGCACGTATGATAATAAATCAACTAATACCAAAAACTAATTATGCCAAAGCACGCACAACAAATTATGTTACGATAACGGTATGTGAAATGGTTTAACGTAGTAATTTTGAAGAATCAATATAAATTTATTTGATCTATTCCCATAATATCACTTAAATATTAAAACAGAAATTGAAATAACCGACCAAAAGATTGTAATTATTTTACTAACTATAAATTTTGTCAACATAAATATCGATTATAGTGAATAATAATAATAATAATAATAATAATAATAATAATAATAATAATAATAATAATAATAATAATAATAATAATAATAANATAATAATAATAATAATAATAATAATAATAATAATAATAATAATAATAATAATAATAATAATAATAATAATAATAATAATAATAATAATAATATTGCAGGTAAAAGTATTATTTAACCTAATTTCTCTTATTTAACGATTGATATCAATAATTATTACGAAATAAATTTAATTATTAAATATTAAATAATTTGAAAATATTATAGAACATTGATTGTTAATTTATTTTAAAAGTTGACCAACCGATTACTTAAAAAATTTCTTCAGCAAAACACTGTGAGATTACTTTGTTTCCTTGATCATGAGAGCAGAAAGCAACTAACAAATGTATCAGAAAGAAAAAAGGACGATTTCTATATAGCGCAACGAAGAGGGAAACCGAAACTATTCGCTCCCACCACAGGAACCTAGCTGAAAACACCACCACTGCCGTTGTGGTTTACCCACCTCCATCTGCCAATACATAGTTCTGGACTGGGTACGAAACGTATAAATTAATCGGCCTGGTATCGAGATCCCATCCCGTCACTTGCATCAGCTGGGTGCATTTGAACTGGCAGTGGGTTACTTTACCAAATATCAACCATACTGCTAAGCAAGCAACATGATTGGCTTGCGGGGTGCTCTAATAACAGTAGCCTTTTTTGTCACATTGGCCCTGGCAAGAGAAATTAGTGACCTAAAAGATTTAGAGACAGCTGCTAGCAAACATCATTTTGAAAAAGGTGGCGGAGAAGAGCATCACTCAGATCATTACCATAAACATGGTGAAAAAGGAGATAAAGGATACAAAGGTTATCATCATCACGATAAGGGAGAAAAAGGTCATCACGACAAAGAGGGACACTCGGGACACTTTCACGAAGACGAAGGACACAAGAAACATCATCATCATGATGATGGTTATTACGGAGAACATCATAAAGGGGAGAAAGGTGAAAAGGGACACAGCTTTCACGAAAAAGGACACTACGGTAAGGGACACAGCACAAAGGGTCATCACGAAGTAAAGAAGCACGATGAATTTAAGAAGGATAAAGAGTTTCACGACGAGCATCACGATTCTGGTCATCATGAAGATCATGGTGGTCATCATCACGAGCATGGTCACAAAAAAGGTGGTCACTTTAAGAAGGGACATCACGATCAGGGTCATCACGAAGATCATTACGGTAAAAAGGGCCATCACGAAAAGGGTAGCCACCATCACGATCACAAAGGCCATAAAGATAGTGGTGGACACGATGAACACTATCATCACGATTCTCATTATGGTAAAAAGGGTGGTCATGAAGATCACAAAGATTGGAAATACAAACACGACCATTAGGAAAGTCATCCAATTAGGAGATACCACCAGCTGTTCTTTCACTCGATCTGCTGTTCTCCTCAACGTTCTCAGCATAATTGTCCTAACCCTGTACAATTTTGTAAGGGAATTCTAATGATATTTTATATTTATATATTGTTGATTGTTAATTTTGTTAATTAATACGTTTATAATATTCGTTTAAAATAAATTGTTTTTGTTAGAAATAAAACTAACGTCCCAGAAATATCATTAATCGCTTTTCCCCTTATCCTTAATAGCAAGAAAGAACTACGGTTAAAGTATCATTTACACTTCGTTGGTGTCATAAAATTCCCTTCCAACTAATCTTCCAGCTATCTCTGTTATATAAAATAGTAAAAAGATTATTCCAGAGGTAGGATCTTTTTCTTCACGCTTAAAGATAAACACTTTCACTGTATTCATTCGCGTAGAAATGTCTTTGAACTCGGTTGAAATAAAAACTATTAACAGGACCTGCATTCTCAAATCTCCTTTCATATCTCATTTTATATTTCATATTCACACACTTTTACCAACACTTTACAAAAGATTAAATAAATTTCCACATACGTTTAAATATGCATCAATAACCGCATAAACGCATGGACAGGCTTGAATATTACTCATAAGTAATTAGAATTTTTAAAATTGCTTTATTACAAAATAACCATAATATAACAATGGAAAAATTTTTATTACAATTAAAACATTCAAATAATATTCAATAAAATTGGATATATTTTTACCGAACGTTGTAAGTAAGCTTTTTCCTTATCTACATTGAGTAATATAATCTGCTATTGTGTATATTATGAAAAGAAAATCAATAATGATCGCTTAATTACGAAATCGAACATTGCGCTTATCATTCGAAAAAACACGATCTTGGTAAAAGCATTGTTTGAAGGACCGTATTCGTGTAAACTATTGCAGCATACCATACTTGATGCTTCCAGCCGTTCGTTTTTAACGATGACGAAAAAGCGGGTACCCTCTATTGTTTCGATCTGCCTTGCACGTATGCGTTGCCAGGATTAATTAATGTAATTGGAGTGATTCTAATACAAAGAAAAAGAAGCAAAAGGAGAAAGAGGAACAGTACACTAAATGCGTACGTGATATGTGATATGGGAGAAATGGTAACCTCGCATCTGCTATTATCTTTCTATATATAAATACAAATGTACATATATGTTCAGTATGTATACCAGATCAGTTTTAACTTCAACTTATGTAAACTAAATAATGTAAGATAGATGAATGCAATTTAAAAAACATATACAAATAAGCTAGATTACTTATTTACATTTTTTTTATTTTAACAAGTTAAATATGAAAAGAATGTATTACAGTTTCTAAGTTATCGTACGTGTAAGTATCATGCATAGAAAAAGTTTAAAATGCAATTTTCATTTTTCACAATAAATTTCAAAACTTTGACTATTTATATTTCCAGAGAAAATAATGTGTAATATTTGCATTAACTATGTATTGCTGATATGTTTTATATATGATCGGATTAAATGACAAACTAGTCTCAATGAAAATCGTTATATCCCTTCGAATGTTATGACTTTCGAACGAAATTTCTCTGAGAGAGAATAATGGCTATTAATTAACAATGCAAATAGCAGTCAGTTACTAGTCAGAAGCAGCAAACCCAGTAAGGATCCCTCTCGTTCTTGCCTAGTATCCTAGTGGTGGATGTGTCCTGGCACTTCCCACCAACTTCAACCTACTCTTTAACTCGTTCCGAGTCAGTAACGTTCTCTCACTTTCACACCTCTGACTGATAATCTTCTTTGAACGTTAGAAAGAATTGAATTCGCTTCATAAACTATGATTAGAAATTTATCAAATGCATAAACAATAATCTCTGTTATTTGATTATCTATATATTTTTATGTATTTGTATTATCGATTAGAGAAATAATTATGATAATTATGAAAGTGGACTAATTATTAGAAAAAAAATATAATAAAAATATCATTAATAAAAAATACATCATAAAATTAGTTCTATCCATTTTTTAACTTATTTTAGCTATCACAATTATCATTATATAAAGTCGCTTTGGTAATAACTTCTTTGCTAAAAATTAACGACTTAATAAATTATAATTGTAGAAGAAAAATAAATGAAAGAGAAAGAGAGAAAAATAATAAGACAGTATAACTCACTTAGTAAAGGGAGTATGCAAATCCTACGAATTCTTGAAGCTCATCGTCGTTGTGCCCTTGTCGCTAAAGGAGAAACCAGCTAGACGGGGTAGTTGATATCAGACAATACAACAGAGCATACCGGCGCCACCGTCCTAAGCTCGTCTTATATAAGTAGAAGAACCTTTGATAAAATTTTCACGAGACGGCAGCAACCTTACGAATAATAAACGCGTCCACGTACTAGAGCCGTGTAATGAAAATTGCATCGTGAAGCCGCATAAGGCAAGCTCTTTTGATGGTCGTGAGCTCGCGAATTAAATACTATGGCCAAGCTTAACTTGTTTATACGCTGCCCTTTCTTGGTTATCTTAGAATGTGCGAACTAACTCGTACGATATATAACTTTAATATTGCACAAAATGATATAGTAAAAATTGCTAAACCCCTCGATTATTACCTTTTTATTTTTATTCCAATGTAAGGTCGAAGACTTTACTAATTTTTAATCTAATTGAAACTTTATATACATATAATATAATATAATAATTTACATACGTGAAATCAAATCTAGCCAGACTCGAATAATATATTTACTTATGCATCAAAAAATAATAATATTATTAAATCTTCACATAAATTATGCCAAATATAATTATGCATATAAATTAATATTAAATTGGAATTTTTTTTAATATAGAAATGTGAAATTATCGATCGATAAAATAATAATAAACGATGTGTAAAATGTTAGCCCATCAAAGTTATGAGAAAGAGAAATTATGTAATATCACGTTTCGCTTTATTTGCTATGCCTAGTTAATAGGTCGTACCTTCTCTTTCTCTCTTTCGCGTTATTAGCACCAACATTTCCGATGCAGAAGGCGCCAGGGATTCGAATTAACGCGAACACGTGTTTTCGACGGGTTACACCGGCTGCCCGTTCGCATATCGACATAATGTGTGTGCATGCTCAAACATGAATAACGAATAATGCATTCACTAACATGAAAATATAAGAGACAAGAGAAAGAGAAAAATAAAGAAAGAGGGAAAAAGATAGAGAAAAAATATATCTGAATCATACAAACATTTAGATATATCGTAACGGGCGTGTCAATTTAGCAAAAAGCGAACATCCGAGTACTCTGCTATATATAGGTCGAAAAAGAGATAGGAAACAAAAAAAATATTAAAAGAGTATAGGAAATACGTGAGAAAGCTTCATTGATCATTTTCTATAACAAAATTCAAAATTCAAAATTGTAACCCAACAAACCAAACGAAAAAAATGTTACCGTATCGCAATTAGTATGATATGTATAATAGATTATTGGATTTGTATAATTGCCTAGACGAATCAATTGAAATGTTTAATTAAAAACCATTAATATCTTTCGATGCGGAGTATTATTTTTATATCTCTCGTTCGATAATTTTATAACGACTTTCTATTCGTTTTTAGCGAATTGGGAAGATTTCTTATTTTATTATCAATTTCTATCAAATAAATTATTAATTATTTTAAGACTTCTATTTTTTTTTCTATAAACCGTTAAAAAACAAAAAATTAAAGAAACAATTACTTGTCCAATATTTGTTTAACCGAAGAATAAAACGTGTATGAATTTTTTTACAAATAAATCTATATTTAGAAAGAAAATTAATGAATTTATCACGGTTTTTATTACATTTTAAAAATGTATCAAGTATCGGCTCGATTTTTTGCTAACCATATGTGAAATTTCATTTCAGAAAGGAAAAAAAATCAAAGAGATGTGTAAGCTCAATCCTGCAATTTTCATCCAATCCAATCCTTTTATTGGGGTATAAGTCCTTAAAAAAAGTGGCAAGAAAACTCGTGAAGGAAAACGTTGGCAATAAATCACGACAAACCGATAAGGCTCAATATCGTGTTACCGTTTGAACAGTAATACAGCTACTCAGACAAATATAAGCCATAAGAAAAATTATTTCTCTTCCCTCCGGGCGGAAAGCGTCAACTTTTCTCCCGCTGTGCAAATCGAAGTTGCCGCTTTTCGCCTACGTCAAGCAGAAAAAAAGTATGCACACCATGGGCAGTAAATAAGAAAGCCTCAATAGAGAGGCTAGAGCAATGTAAACATGTGCTCTGAGACATTTCTTACTTTACCGCCCTATGTATGTAATATACTATGTTTCATTATCAAAAAAAGCTCAAAGAGATAATAACCTATATCCTTAATACATTTTATATTTACTTAAACCATTTTTGTTGACTAATTCGTATAATGAAGAATATTAAAGTATTATTTCCAATATCGTTACAATAAGATCATTATAAATTATTACAATTACTATATACTCATTAATTTTACTATTAAAATATTAAATAAAAACAAATTTTAAAATCAACATTTAACAATACTAAGTATAAACAAGATTATACTACAAATTTTATTTTACATTTCCATAAATATTTAAAAACTGACAAGTTAAATGCATTCCATATCCGATTATTACTTCGAACTCTAGTACTTTCATCGTCTTTGATCGGCTTAATTATTCAAGGTTTTAAGAATTAACTTTTCCATGTTCAAAAAAAAAACTTATCGCAGTCTTTTTATTTCGACAGTAAATATCAATAAATTATTTAATTAAATAATAATAGTATTTGATTAAATAAATGAAGTACCCTCCATTCATATATAAAATTCCTAGTTCCTACAATTTTCATTCATAAAAAGCTCTATACGATTAACTACAAGATCACATTTTCTCACATTTTTTCACTCTCAAACTTAAAAGTCACTTTAGGCGTTTTACCTTTATAAAAATATTAATTTTAGTGTTCCATTTGGAAACCATACTTCTTTCCAGAATGATGATCACCCTTCTTGCCATAGGAATCATCATGAGCGTGATGTTGTTCGTGTCCGTGCTTACCGTGATGCCCTTTATGTTCCTCATCGTGATGGCCCTTATCGTGATGTCCTTTTTTACCATGATGATCCTCCTCATATCCCGAATGTTTGTGTTCGCCCTTCTTATGATGGCCTTCCTTCTTCTCATGATGTCCATGAAAATCACCATGCTTCTCGTGATGACCGCCCTTATGATAGTCATCGTAAAACTTGTGCTCTTTGTGATACTCATCTTTATGGAATTTGTTGTGATAACCCTTGGTCTTGTGTCCCTTCTTGTGACCCTTTTTCTCTCCGAACTTTCCACCTTTATGCCCCTTTTCTCCTTCGTGATGCTCCCCGTATTTCTCGTCTAAATCGTGATGACTTTTCTTATGACCACCGTGTTCCTCGTGATGTCCGGCATGGTGTTCTTTATCGTGTTTACCATGATCACCCTTATCGTGATGATGATGACTTTTGTAACCTTTATCACCTTTCTCACCGTGCTCCTCGTGATGGTCGGCATGATGTTCTTGACCACCACCAGACTTGTGATGATGTCCATGATGTTTGTGATTCGTTGCAGCACTTTCTAGATCATCTTTTAGTTCTATATGGCTTTCAATATTCCTTATTGGAAAAACATGTTCCTCCAAAATCTTTGTCTGCAAATCTTTTGCCTGACAAGTCTTCTGGGATAGAAAAGTGCAATATAGAAGGAAAATAATCGTCAGGAGTGTCTTTACGTTTGTCATTTTGGCATCCAATCACATTCGGTTTCAGCTACTGACGAGCTCGAGCTCGACTGTTCTCACTTAAATATCATTGGATTGTTACTTCCGTCACGGATCGACCGTTTCCGACGATTTTACTTTCCTTCGTACGACCACTGAAACTACTTGGTTTCTCCGTTTTACGTTCTCCGATTCTTTAAAAATCAACGAACGTGCCTTCGTGAACCCGACTTCCCACTTAACACTTTCTCTCACTATTGATTACTATTACTTATACTTACCATTCGTATACTATATTAAAATAATCGAAAATAATATACTTTTAAATATACTTTTTCATTCAAATACATGGTGTATTTTAAAGATAAATAAAACTCTTATAATTATTATCTCTTCCAATAAGATTTCTTATTACAAGTATTATAAATTGATATTAGAATAAAAAGCAATGGTCAGTCAATATATTAGTTCAGTAACTAAATGTAATACAATAAGCATAATTACAGAAGTTTAACATCTATCGTCTATGTTAAATTGTGGCAATAAAAATGTTTTTACGCTTTTTATAGATATTTTTAAATCACTTCAAATCGTGAAGTTTCATAAAAACAATCATCTCTTTGACAAGCACGAAGATAGTGCGTCCAAGCATTACCTTCTCGAAACGAAGAAATACTAATTTACAAAGAATGATGAAAACGACTTTCTATCGTCTCACTTTTTCTTCGATTTCTTTCAAACACTGACACAATACCACAGAAACTTGTGAACCACATCGAATCAGTCTTCTTGCAATAAGAAATCTCACGTTTTTATTATTCACGATCTTATCCAATATAATAAACGTCGATAGTTCAATAAAGAAATATGCAATATTGAAGGCTGTTGACATGAACAAATGGTTATTCGTAGCTGCACACATTGCTACGTAATCGTGTTGAAATATCAACGATTTTGTTAAACGTATCTAAATAATTTACCACAAACCGGCTATCGGTAACACCCGGAGTCGTTCATTGTAACCGAAAACCAATCAAAATGCGGAACAGCGCGCTGATAAAAGTCAATCGGAATAGTAATTGAATTTCCGACTAAATGGTACTCCTGATAACCAAACATAATGAATCTAATTTTAATAGCTTGTTCGACGCTAGAATCTAGATTCTAAAATATATCATAAGATTAAGTCCAATTGACATTACTACTCGCTTTTCAATTGTTCTAAATATTTTCAGTCAATGAATCGATCCAATTCCTTTCAATTCCGTTAGCAATTCTTTCTACATTCGCAGTTGATTTTTCAAAATTAAATTTTGAGTCTTTCGTTCCATTTTTCTATTAACAAACAATGGAATATTGAAAAATTCATAAACCAAAATTTTTTTTATGAAACTTTACGATTATCACAAAACGAGTACTTTTATTATTCCCCGCTCGGTAAGTATTATTCATTTCTTTAATTTTCGTTATCGATTTCTATCAAGAATAATCTAGTTAAAATAAAATATAATAAAAAACGCATTACATTTCATTACTCGTTTCTCGATTATTTTCTTCTTTCATTATATTAATTTATCTTTAAAATTATATTTTCCTTGAACATCAATAGTTTTTATTACGCTATAACAATATTCTCGCGACACGTTTCCCTATAGTTGGTACAACGAAATGATAATGTCTAGCAAGACTAGGAAGGAAAGATATTACCGTTATCGTTCGACCGAGGAAGAGAAAAATTGATTCTCAAAGGCTTCGTAAAGGCCGATAAACGAAAGGGTATATCGAAGCCATTAACTCGCTGCACCGATCACATTTTCTTTTGCATATCGCGTCGCGCAAAGGCGGAAGGACGTCGAACCTGCTCTCCATTGCAAATTGTACGAGCTGGTCGAATTCATATAGAGATAGAGAGATAGGTAGATGGATAGATAGAGAATTGGAGAGAAAGGAAAAGAAAGAAGCTCTAAAACAGTGTGATCGATAGCTTTCTCGGATCCTTAAGACCTTATTTGGCAACGCCTTAGACTGGAGATTGGCTCGGATCGGTGGCGCTGGCGCTGCATAATCAAGATAAAGATTGGTTACTGCACGAGCACCCTATCTCGAACCCTTCGAGGATGATAGGAGAACTGAATGTAGAAAGAGAATCGAGAAATAGTAGTAGTAGAGAAAGAAGAAGAAGAAAAAGAAAAAGGGAAAGAATAAGAAAAGAAACCGGGAGGCCAAGGCTTCTGCCAAGTTCGATTTGAACTCGGTATCTCTTGTAGTAACGGAGATTAGATTAGATGGTGTTCGCTTTGGACCATCCGGATGAAGAGGGAGACTGCTTTGTAAGCGGATCCAAAGACGAGTGGTGGAACGTCACCGAGACAATTCTCTCCTGTTCGCGTTCTTACCCACCCTAACCTTTCCCCATCTCGTCATCTACCCTTGATGTTACTCAACGATTGTTGTTGCCTCTCTATAAACGGAGACCTCAAAGTTTTTACAGAAATCAATGGTAGTACCAAGTTGAAATAAATCATTGTTTCTTTAATTCAACGAAGAATAATGAATACAAATTGTCATAGTTTTTTCTAAATATACATCCATAATTAATTTGCTTCTCAAAAATTCTAATAAGAAGAAAGACAATATACGTTTCTATAGATATAATTTATTATATACTTTTAATGAAACGATCTTCAAATAGAATACGTATAATCGTTTCGTCAGCTATAGATAAACCAATGTCAAATTACGACGCGTAATTAAATCCAAATATCTCTTTTAGAGATTTGTTTAATTACGTGAACCCTTTCCTTTCCTTTCTTTTCCTTTTCCGTCTATGTAGCAATGCCACCAGCAGTAACCCCTACGGCAGCTTCTCGCGGGGTGTGCAATCAGTTGATGGCCCAGCAGAGAGAACCCCAACCCTTCTCAACTTCTCGTCCTAACTACCACCCTTGCATTCAAGTCCAACCGTCGGCTTTCTCTTACACTCTCTCTCTTTCTCTCTCTCTCTCTTTCTCTCTCTCTCTCTTTCTTCTACTTTTTCTCTTTCTCCCACACTTACCAACTTAACCATCCTTTACCGCATTTTCGCTAGATGAATAAAACCGGCGGACTGTGCGTCGGTGAACAAAGGAACTCGTGCTACCTTCTGGGCTGCTAATGAAATTGTTTCCTAATTTAAATCCTGGGAGAGCCGCGACGTGGGTTCTATTCTACGGTCAAGAGCTTCCATTCAGCCTACAACCTTTTCTCGAGAGGGTTACGGGTGTAGAGGAATGATGATCGTGAGTAATTTCGCGTTTCCCTCTCTTTCTTTCTCTTTCTCTTTGGCTTTCTCAGTTTTCCCCTCTTAAAAATATAAAAGTAAACTCAACTATTTTACATACATCTTTTATTCTGTGTTGTTTTACTACAAACATTCATCTTGATGTCCATTCATTCATATTACTCTGGTAGAAAAATTTTATGATATTGATTGAGGTAAGGGCTATAAGAAATATTGTTGATCCCAAAAATGAAGGATTTTAAGACGATTGAAAACTAGGTTAACGACCGAACGTTGGTTGAAGGGAAATCTAGCACCGCCACTCATCGTGATAAGGCAACTCGACGATCTCCGTAGTAACATTTCGAGTAAACCCATTTATTGTTTGTGCCCAGGAAATAACATTTATCACAAATGTCTTGTAAGAAATTGCTGTGTCATTAAAGTTGTAAATGAATTAATTACTTCTAAGTAAATTACGTCGTTATTATTAAAGAACTAAAAATTCATTTTTCATCGTAATTCCAATAACGTATTTCCGTTCGTTTTAAAAAACTTATTCTAATTGTTAAAAAAAAATATATCTAAATTAATATTGGTATATATTGAAAAAAAAGTAGTTAAGAAGAATAAAAAAAACATAATGAAATAAGGAAAAAGAAAAATTATACCGCTTGGTAATCATATAAAAAAATAAAAAAAAAAAGGTATAATTATCCGGTGCAAGCAGTCTCCAGCTAAAAATATCTGCGACGACTACTAAGTTTTGCTCGTTATAAATAATTGCTAAATGTAGAAACTTGGTACGGGCAACACCTATCACCATGTGATATGTGTAGAAGCTCTTACACACCATGATCGTCGCGTGACCGAAACTACTTTTTAACGCTCGGTTACGAATTCTTCATTCGTCAGGTTGAATCGTGCCGCAAGGCGATATGCGACTGTGTCTTCCTAAAACGTCCGACTCGTGAATATCAACTTAAATCTAAAACGATTTCGGTAAGTTGTATTTAAAACGCTCAAAACGAAAGCTTAAAAAATAACATCTCAAATCGTGAGAACAATAATACGAAGATCGACTTAACTTTTATTATACTTTGCAATAAATTTTGTTATCTTTTTTTTCATAAACTCTTTCAGTGAACTCTTATCGTTTCGCTAAATTACATCTCTCCGCGTGTTATCTGAAACATTCTAGGATAGATTAGAGTGTTAATGATCAATCGCATGGAACGTCTAAGTGTCGGTGACGTATCGAGTTTCATCAAACAATGTTCTAGAACAAGTTACGTGATTTCCTATCAATCATTTCCGTCGTACTTTTGAGAAAAGTTATGTTGAAACAATACATCGTATTAACCCCTTCCCGTGCCATTTAGCTCGACGAAACTCGGGCCCAAGCGGTACACATCGACGCGCGCTAAACAGACCACACTGATGTTCGTAAACAGTCGCAATACGAACCGAAATGTAGATGCCCGCGATACCTGTGGTATCAAAATGTGGTAAAAATCAGTCCGCGAGCTCGGCTTCTTATATTTATGTTTGGGCCAAGTATCCGGTCGCGACCCTGAATCGCGATACTTATGTTTGGCCCAAGTATCTCGTCGCGACTCTGACTCGCGATATGCATGTTTGGCCCAAGTAATTCATCGCGAGTCTGACTCGCGATATGCATGTTTGGGCCAAAATCTTCATCGCGAGTCAGACTCGCTAAAGTACGGGAAGGGGTTAATATAACCTGATTTGAAAACCACGAACAAATTGTTTAATTAGCTTCCATCGTAGTCGATCGAATTCAATCGAAATGTCGCTTGAATAGGAATGAAACATTTTATAGACAATAAATCTTCAATACGTATCGATTTGATCGTTATATTTTCAAAGGAACGACCACGAGTTACGTGATATCCTCGTTGTGTGTTTTATTCGATGATACTAACGTTTATAGAATATATATATGAAATAATATGTATATACAGAGGGAAAACAAATAATATTAAATATCATTAATAATGGTCTCCATAATCGCCGGCAGAATCACTACTTGAAGAATAAGAGCTGTGGTTCTCGTAAGAACCCTCGCTACCACTACCGGTAGAATAATTCCTATTGTGACCATCGCCAGTATCGCTGTAACTTTCAGAGCTTGGTTCTGCGGCCGTGTAGTGGCTGCTATAATCACCGGAATACTGTTCACCACTGTGATCTCCTTTGTTATCCACGTAGTGACTGTCTACGATCGTACCTGTAAAAGATTGTTTATTTATACGTTAAAAAAAAAAAACCTTGAAAATATGTATATTCTAATCCTTTTCATTATTGTTAATTCTTACCTGCACCTTCGTGATCTTCATGTTTTCCAATATTCGAACTTTGCTCGGCATGCTTGTCAGAATCTTTGGCACTACGAGCTTTACCGTAAGCAAAGTGTTTCTCGAATCCGTACTTGTCGCCATCCTGCTTGTGGAATGTGTCAAACGTCTTGTATCCGTGGTCACCCTTACTATAGGTTTCCTTCAAGTAACCCTTCTCGCCCTCTGCATCGCTACCGTACGTCTTGTAGTAGCCACCCTCGTCTGATTTGCCTAAAACCACAATGTTAACGGTCCTTGTTAGTCAACACGGCCGTACGGCCAAGCATCCGTGAAACTCAATGATTAATTGGATCTACAGACGTGCCTTCCTCAAACGATTCCGTATTACTCGTGAACACGTGTATCGAGTTCGATCGAAGTACGTTGGTAAGCGACATGAATCCTATCTCCCTTGACGTTTCGACAAATGCCTTCGACAAGTTAGATCCGTTTTGACACGTGAGCAAACAGATCCCGTTTTAAGAGCTACGAAAAAGCTCTAATTTCTTTGGACTTCGTGATAAACCTTAAATCGAGGATTCTCGTAATTTCATACAAATTTCCAATTCTAAGAGATCTTAACGACAGTGAGCTACACAAGCTACCAGCCAACGTCAATGTCGTTGCGAATCTTATCCGTTTCCAAGGAGACATCGACGTAGGCGTGGCTCATTTCCCTCGATCGAAGTATTAAATTCGAGCAAGTTTCCTCGATGTCGACTAAATTGGTCTCTGGTTCCGAAAGGAAACTGGTATTAATGGGAATGCTTGCTTTGGCAGATTGAGCTAATGCTACTCATGCTCGACGTTTCATTCGGAATGCGACAATCGCTTTGAGATAGAGACAGAGACTCTTGTCATTCCTGTAATAATGAACTTTCTCTACTATATGAAATTATTCCTGACATAGATAAAAATCGATCGAACTGTTATCATCGAAAAATAATAAATTTTATTACTATTGTTATCTAATATAAAAAAAAAAAATAAATAATCAAAGTGATTACAAACGATAAGTATCTCTTAAAATTCAAAGGATCAATTATTAGCGAGAACTAAAATATCGACTTTTAACCTACCGGACGCGTTCTTCGCGATCTTTTTGGAGTCCTTGTTCGGTGCATTTTCAGCTTCAGCAAGATCCTCGACTTCCGAGTGAAACTTCAAAGGTACCGACTGGCGTAACTGCCTTTTGAAGTACCCAAGGGGCGCCACCACGTCTTTATTGAGAATCGGATATCCTTCGTAATCCATGGGCATACCCAGAGAATGGCCAAGAATAAGAAATGTAACTAACAACTCGTACGTTTTTCGGGGCATCCTTCTTCGTTACTTCTTCGACTTTACTACAATCTATGGATCCAACGGCTGGACGATCTTAGTGATCGACAAAGACGTTAAGCCTTCGAAGACTGTTCATGGACTTTTATATCTCTCCCACTTTAAAAACTCGTTGAATTTTTCTTACGACAAGAGGAATACGAGGATTCGACTAGACGGATATCAAATCGATTTCGCAAGACCGATTCTCATTTCTTCGACGTGAAACGTGATCCCTCGTCTATTAATCGTTTCATACTTTTTCAACCTTTCTTGAATTGTCTTTGAATTATCCGACCTGAACAAATTTCAACTCCAATTAAAATATAACAAATAAATGATTAATAGACGTAAACTATCGCACGTTTTATATACAAATATAATCGATTATTTCGTCCTAATATCATCCCCCTCCCCCACATAACTATCGATTCGCTGAGCAATCTATCAATTGCATTTATACTAACCATATCGCACAATCAATTTCTCAATTTCTTATTAGATTAAGAAAATAGCTTTAGCTATAGTCATTGGTTGTGTCCCCTTATCATATAAGCGAGACTCGATCATGCATTTGATATCGATTACCATTTTTATTTTTGAACAAGTAATTGATAGGTATTTGTTATGTCTTATTGGGATAATTATAGAGATTTATATTTAAAAATAAAATTATTTAATGTGTAAATACATTTTATTTCGTTTAATTCATATTCACTTTCATAATTAGTTATAGTTGTCATTTGACCAGTTTCTATAATGAACAGATACTATGAAATATTTACATATATGATTATCTAGATTTTGCCTTATGTATATTAAAGTGAAACGATTTATTCTTAAGCGATAACATGTTATCGAAAGAAAAAAAAAACTGTTAAGAAGAAATGCAGCATTTTTTTATAATTTGTAATATCAGTTATTTACTTGTTCTGAAGAAATGTCTCTTTACGCACGAATGCATATAGGTAAGCGAGTCTCCGTTTCAATCTAACTTTTTCATACACAATTACCTCAGACTTTTCGAAAAGATAATTTCACTCTATTAGTCACTATAAAAAAGTCTATTACGTTAACGGATAAAATATAACATCATGCTACCTGAAATAATATCTCCGGGTAATGTAAAATAACATTTATCGTTCTAGATTTGTCATAATATAATTTATAATTTCTTTTTTATTTTTTTTTTTTAAATTCCATTCAATTTCTGTACTTTTTTCATTTAAAGTTAGGTACATATACGAGAATTCGATAAGTAAATCATTTTTATATCTCGTTTGGTAAATATATACAGAAAACACTAGGATGCAAGTAAAGCTTGATAAATCATAAGCAATATCATTTATTTTAGAAATATTCTCAAAATCGTATTCGTTGCAACGATAAAAATTTTTCTATATATATGTCTCTTTCTCTCTCATTTTTTCCATTTTACAATCCTTTTCCATGGGTATCCTTACCGATACAACAGTAGGAGACACGTCAACGTACCGTTGTCGTTCGTCAGTGTCACCGCAAGCCGGTAGTAAATCGCAAAGCGACCCTCCTTCCTCGTCTAAGTCGTGCTACGCAGAGAATAGGAGGAGGAAACTGAGATGATTACGCTTAACGCCGTGTGAACCACTTGATGCAGCCGGTGTCGGGGACGTTAAGCGCCTTATATAGCTGTAGCACCAACTAGTTTCCACTGTGTGAGATAATCCACTAATTTGAAAATCTTGAGTAGAATGTTGCATTATGCCATGTTACGATTATCCAGCAAACAACGTGTTACCGTTTTTCTTTTACCCCGATATTCGTTACATTATATTTCAACGAAATTGCAGAAATTTATTTCATAATCGTATTTAATACTGATTACTACGCATTCAAAATTAATAAATAAGGATTGTTAATCTCTAACGATTAATGTGTTTATTCAAAAATTTACTATATAGTCTGCAATAAAATTGATACGGCCTTTTTAAATAAAACAAAACAAAAATAATAATATTATATGGTTATAAGATGATGACATTAGTAAGATTAATCTTATAATAACATTGCTGAACTGACAGCAAACTTTTTCAGATGATTACATTCCTCGATCCCGTTCTTTCTAAATCACGTACAAATATTCAAATTTCCTACGAATTGCCGTACGAAAAGAATTTTGTTACCCGATCGATCAAATATTCCGTTTCCTCAAATCGGTGAATATTACTAGTTTTGAGATCAAAAGTCAGCACGTGTAACAGCACCAACCCTAAGATACGATCAACGACTTTGCTTCAGCCTTGAGTTAAAGCTTCGAGAGTTGAAGGAGTAACCAACTCATGATTCGCATACTGATTAGCTTGAGAGGGCAGGTAAAGGTAATCTCATTGGCATATATTAGTCGGATATTGAAATGGATGAGTGCACCGTCATTTATGCCGTCGTTGCATAATTACAAATTTAATGTTCCAAAAATTGCTTTCACTTGTATTGTCTATTATGCAATAAACCAAATTTAAAGATTGAACGTTTTTTAAAGGGATTTAATAACTCTTTTGATATTATATATTTTTAATTATTAAATTTTAAAATATTTAATGTCCTACAATAAATTGTAAGAATTATCATCATATAAATAAAATGTAATAAAATAGAAGCATTATATTTTCGTAAACAATTTTAAAATTAATTACATTAAAAATGTCGATATCGTTTGATAAGTCAATTTTTTACTAATAGTAGGTAACTTTATTTTCAAAAAATAAAAGACATACTAATAACTGATAACCAAAATTTCTGCAATCGTACAATACTTACAATGAATAAAACAGTAATCTACATTATCTACCACTTTTATGATTCAGTAATATTACCAACAGTAGTTAATACCAACAGAAGCTAAGACTCATTAAAAATCGATAGTCGTCTTATGTGATACATCGACTACACGAAATTTACATACCGATATAAAAATTATGTAAATTATGTTATATAATTTCAAAAATTTTAATTTAACAAGAATAAAATATAAATTCTAGAAATATCTTTGCAAATAACAATGTTACTAAGTTTCTTCCTACCCTTACTGCTCTATCGGTAAAATTCATTCGAAGACCATTTGATAGTAAGATTTCAACTAAATTATCTACAATCGATTTCGTTTCAGAATATATTACAATATATTACAAACAATAATTAGTATCATAATCCATAGATATCAGCACCATAATATATTTTGAAAAAAATTTTAATTTACGAAAATAAGTCAATTTATAGCTTAAAACAGTTGCTAAAACTTCTATAGAATAATCTTTTATAGTTTATAGATGCATATAGTATAAAAAAAATATTATTAAAGAAGTATAAATAATAATGATAAAAAATCTATCCATAAATACAAATATTGTTATAATTTACAAAAATAGATCCAATTAGTAAGTAACTTTTATTTAATAAATGAAATAAAATCTATAAGAAAAATTTTATAGAGATAAACTATCGATTGGATTACCATTCCACTCTTATCCCCAGCAATTAATTCCTACTAATTCATACACGTTGCTAAAACGATCAGTTCCTCCCCTTCGACGTCTAAGCAATCTTGTAAGGACGATAGCCCTTCGGATAATAGCGTTCCTACGTCAGGACCAAGGGATGTAGGTGACTGACAAAGACAGGCGGCCAGCTACAGAGAGAAAGAGAGAGAGAAAGAGAATAAGAGAATCAAGCAATTAGGAGAGAACATAAATCCCTTGGCTTAGCGCACTTCCTACGAGTGAATCAATCGGCGTAACGACCGATCAGTTTAATTTTCATTTGGCTTCTAATCTTGAACGATAGTTTACTAAAACATTTGTGAAAATATAAGACATTGGTCATTCAAAATCTCGTATAGATCACGTTACTTGTGAATATAATAGAGATACCAACCGTGTGTGATACAAATTTATTTTTTAAATTAAAAGTATGACATTTCGTGAACCTCGATTTTTATTACCTATGAATAATAATTCCGCGAATTGCAAGAAATTAATTAATTTATAAATGATCACGATTAATAAAGAAATAATTATCATTGCATTTATCGAGATAATAATTAATCAATGTTTACAACAGTTCTTTATTGCAATTTATTTGAAGGAACAAAAAAATAGATAAAGAGGAAAATGGATACTTCTGACAATTCGAACGGTCGAAGCGGAAATAAATCAGCAACCCGTACTATTCGGTTAAGTCGAACATTATGTAACGGCTCTGCACTGTAACAAAGATAAGCTTTGAAAAGCTACGTTTCCTATCCTCGCGGTGATACCAGAGACTGATCCTCCGTTTCGTTTCCTTCATGCTCCATGAAACTTATTGGAAGTATCATTCCTAATATTTTCAATAGTGACACTTTTACATCAAAAGTTATATAATGGTCTATCTCGGAAAATAAATCCTAATATTTCTATTCATCTTTTATATTGACAAATAATATCTTCTCTGTATCAATAAAAAATAAATAAGGAAGATAAATGGATCCAAATAGAAAATAGTTCATTGTTTTGCAAACTCTAACTTGTTTATAAAACATCCAAACAATTTTGTTACGAATGATTGTAACAAATTAAAAATCAGATTGTAATAATTTCTTCTAAATTTAAAATTTAGAAGATCTTGTATATCAAATATCCCTTCCTTTTACGTTTCTCTCACTCTCTCTCTCTCTCTCTCTCCCGTATTAGACATCTTGTTCGGCTTTTCACAAGCAACCCGTGGACAAATTATCGCTCTAGCGTAGTAATCAATCTGACAAAGCCATCGACGGGAATGACTGGTATACGTGCGAAACTGCACGTGTGCCGACACGTACGTACGTACATCGAAGATTACCTACACCTTCTCTTTGGTGGCATGTCTCCTCGTTGCTTAACTCTGCCCCCATCTTCACTTGACATCGACATCGTATTACTCGCAGA